TTCTTTACCCGGATTGGTGCAGAACAACATTACGCTTTTACCACAATCGAGTAGGGGTTGATCCCTTGCCTATGGTAGCTATTATATCATTGTTCTCAAGGACCGGAGCGTTTTGAAAGACAGACTCCCTTTGTGGGGAGTGATGATGGGGTGGGGGAGGATGATGATGGGGATGGGGGTACGGATGAGGGGAAAGAAGAGGACGAGGAGGAAGAGAGTGGGGAGTCGGTAAGTTGGGTTGTGTTTACTGGATGGGGATACAGGACACGAGCTGACCGGTTACAGGAGTTTACAATGATGATGATGCTCAAGAGCCTGAATATTGAGCCCGAGGTGTTGGGATACGACCCGGTTGAGGATAAGTGGCTAGATTGATGCCGGTGCGTTTACACACGACAGGGAAAAGGAATATAAAAGCTACCTATCATTGAAGGATGGTCCGGATACGGTAAACACCACGAGTTCAAGCTGGCTGTTTATCACGATGGAGACTCAACAGGGCCGAATTGGGGAAGCACACACAGTGTAAAAACGACAAAACTCCCGAATTACTACATCGCATTCGCATTTCCATACTGAAACCCTCTATACACAACAATTTGTCGGGTTGAGCCAGCTATTGGACTTGGCAACTAACTCACACCGATTTGGCAACTCTCACGTGTAAGTGAGCCTCATGTTTCAGTCTCCAACAGCCGAGTTGTGACGTTGCCGATGAATGGCGGAGCAGTTTTAGGCGGGGAAGACCCAGAAGGCCGCTGCAGCGCTTGCTACCGAGCTTTTCGTTGCAGGGCACGGGCGACGGGCACCGCCGGAAGAGTCAATTCAAACCCAGTGGATGTTATTGGTCGCCTGGCCCGAGGTCCGGCAAAGCGAGCCCCACATCCAGTTCAATGGCATCGCCGCCACCAACGAGCAGTGCGTGACATCCCGAGGTCTTTTCCGAGCCGTGATTTTAGCAATCGTCGACGTCGTCAGTGCAAGCGCATTACAATCGCCCGTTCCGCGACAATGGCAGCCCTCCGCTCTTCCGCATCCCTCCTGCTCGGCGCAGCGTCCAGGCCGGTCCTGCGCGCGGCCGCTGCCGCTCCCGCCGCCGTGCGCGGCATGGCCCAGGTCGTCGACGGGCAGCAACAGAGCCAGTCGGCGTCGGGCGACGCCGCGAAACTCAAGACTTTCCAGATCTACCGCTGGAACCCCGACACACCAACTGAGAAGCCCAAGATGCAGAGCTACACCCTCGACCTGAACAAGACCGGGCCCATGGTCCTCGACGCCCTGATCCGCATCAAGAACGAGCTCGACCCGACCCTGACCTTCCGCCGGAGTTGCCGAGAGGGTATCTGCGGCAGCTGCGCCATGAACATCAACGGAACCAACACCCTCGCCTGCTTGTGTATGTTTGGACAGGAATGAACTTGGAGGGGTGGAGGGTTGGAGGGGAGGAGGAGGCTAACAAATCATCAGGCCGCATCCCCGCCGAGGACAGCGCCGAGCTCAAAATCTACCCGCTCCCGCACACCTACGTCGTCAAGGACCTGGTGCCCGACCTCACCCAGTTCTACAAGCAGTACAAGTCGATCAAGCCGTACCTACAAAGGGATACGCCGGCGGAGGACGTAAGTAGACAATGCGCGCATGTAGCTGGCAACCGGACTTGAGGCTGACACACACCACAGGGCAAGGAGTATAGGCAAAGTAAGGCGGACCGCAAGAAGCTCGACGGCCTCTACGAGTGCATCCTCTGCGCGTGCTGCTCGACGTCGTGCCCCTCGTATTGGTGGAACTCGGAGGAGTACCTGGGCCCCGCCATCCTGCTCCAGTCGTACCGGTGGCTCGTCGACTCGCGTGACGAGAAGACGGCCCAGCGCAAGGACGCCCTCAACAACTCGATGAGCCTGTACCGCTGCCACACCATTCTCAACTGCACCCGCACATGCCCCAAGGGTCTCAACCCCGGTCTGGCGATCGCCCAGATCAAGAAGGAGATGGCTTTTTAAAGGGGTGGGTAGCAATGGGGGCGTTGTGATGGAGCAGATGAGAAGAGGATATCCTGATGTGGAGAATGGCGTGGGCGGCAAAAGAACGGGCGGCGGTGTGAGTCCTGAATAACGGACGTGATAGATATGTAAACTTACCCTGGTCTCCTGCATGGTTGGAGTTTACTTTGTCACAATAACAATAGGATGGTTCTAGGTTTTTCGTGGTTCATTTTTGATATCTGAGCGAATATCACACAGGGTTGTCTTACATGGCAACCACGAAGCTTTGAGGGTCTATTGCAGCGACCACGTGGCTTGACTAACAACGACCGAGGGTTTTTGAGAAGGGGACAAATGAGGAAAAAAAAACAATGCAACAAACAAGGGATTCGAAAACAAACTTTTCCCGTGATCATAACAACAACCACCTGAAAGTCTATTCAGGGGTTGGCCCTCAACAACTCGCCCCAACCCGTCACCGAATCGCACTACTCCTCCTTGACGAGCTCGTACACGACCTCCACTGGCATGTAGTTCTCCGTGGTCCACGCGCTCACTACAACACGGCATGTCAGCATTCATTTTCACCTAACCCCCCACCCCCCCCCAGAAGGGAAAGAAGGGGAAGGGAAAAAAAGAAAAGAAAAACTCACCATCCCTCCACTTAACACTCCACCTCTCCCCCTCCCCGCCCACCGGAAACGCCACCCACCTGCCCTCCGCCACGCCCCCCTTACCCACATACTCAACCGCACCACCACCCCCCTCCTTCTTCTCAGCGCCCAACCGGAACGAAGTCCAGTCCACCGTGGTGCCGTCGGGCGCCTGCACGGCCTCGGGGTCGGCGAGCGCCGCAAAGTCCAGCAGCCCGTTGGCGCCCACCACCGCCAGCGCGCCGCCGCCGCCGACCGTGTCGCTGGAGCGGCGGAGCTCGTCGAGGTCCGTGTCCGGGTTGTGCACCGGGTAGAACCGGACGGGTTGCGTGGCGGGGGAGGTGGTGGTGGAGGTGCTTACGCCGAGCGTGCTGGTGTCGTCGGTGTCGGATTGCGGCGTGGTGGTCAGGTAGAGGCCGTCGAGGGATTTGACGGGTCTGTGGGTTGGGTGGTGGTTAGTGGGTTTGTGGACTGGGTTTGGGGGTGGTGGTGATATGGGGGATGTTACGTACGAGGTGAGGCGCAGGGTGTAGACTGCCTGGCTGACGTCCCGGCGGATGGGGGTTGCCAGGCCGGTGGCCGCGAGGAGGGACAGGGTGATGGCTTGGAGTCTCATGATGGCGGATTTTTGGTGTTGATTGTTGATCTGGGTGTTGTTGTTGTTGTTTGGGTGACAATTAGGTCGTTGAGGGAGGTCCAATGGTTGGTTCACTTGTGTCTCAGATTGTCGAATGGATCTACAGTCTTCATTCAGACGGAAGGCACAGCATTCTTATATGTTGTTGGTCTTGCCTTCCCCATTACTTCGTACATCCATGTGATTGCGCAACTCGGGTCTTCCTCGGATCCTTCACCATTGTGCATCTTGTTCCCACGTTCCTCCCACGATGAGTTTTGTTGGTAAACACCCCACCGACATCATTCGAGTTTGCTTGTGCCACCGCCGCGTATTGCCGCACCCTTCCGCGAAGGGGGAGAACAGGCAAATTTGGTGTTGTTTCTGGCGGATTCTCCCGTCCAGATATTAAGAGCTGCAGGACGAGCACAATTGATTAAGTCGAAAATTGGCAAACACTTATTTTTAGCTTCCGGCACATTATCTCCCCCAGACACCCGGTTAAGGGGTCTCTGATTTCATCTATCATTGCGCGTTCAAATAACCTGCCCACCTTGCACAAAATAAGAGGACCGTGTCCCAGAGGGAAAGTGCCACGACACCCCAAATGACTTTGGATCATTACCCGTTCATTTGGTCTGGTCGTGACTGCCTCTGAATAACTGACCCTGTTTCGCCTTCCTCTTGCGAACCCGGCTTCCATCGCCGATCACAAAGTTCTAGAAAGACTCAACACCGGCGATCCTTAATCTAAACTTTCCGTTGGTACCAATTCCCGGTAACATGATTGCCTGACCACCCTCACCTGTCCCAGGTTTGATATCCACTTGTCTCCTTCCTGTTCGACAACGGATCACAACGGATCGAATGACAATCGGTGCATTTTCATAAATGGGAATCACCACAGTTGTCAAAGGCCTTCGTCTCGGAAGTAAGCCGTCGTCAACCGCGAGACTTGGCAAGATAGAGTCGCAACCTTGGTCTCCGCAGGAACCCGCCGCCAACCGCGAGATCTGGACTCAACAAGCAGCTGGTCTGCATATCGACAAGTAGTAATCAGACCATCGCTAGACTGCGAGAGCAATGCCAAGGCATCCAGACCCTCCCTCCCACACTGACAGCAAAACTACATGACACACAGCATCTGTAGGTAGAGGAGAAAATGTCCGACATACCTTTGTAACGGTACAGGGCAAGGGACGGGGAGCTTCGCGGGCGGCACTACACATTGACCTATCCCTATTTAGTAGTCACGCCTCATGGGTTTTGCAAACGCGGGATTGGGTACCTTAGCCTATTCCTCTTCGCAACCCTACCTTTTTCCTTACCGTACCTGCAGCTATGCGGACTTCCGACGGAGCACTTTTTCCTCCTTACCCCTTTCTGCCAAGCTCCTTCTGAGTATCCGTCTTGGCTTCCATTGGAGTAGTATCTATGGATTAGATACGAGGAGTTCTGTTGAAGTCGGCCTTTGAGTGGTTGACCAAGACGGCTCGATAGAGTTAACCCCTTGAGCTTCTTAATCATGATAGGTTACCATGTGCGTAAGGTTGCGGAAGTTTATACTGCCGGCTCTAGGAGTATGAAGTTACCTTCCGTTGCCCTGAGGGGCAATGTTTGCTACAGGCCCGGCTAGGCCTTTCTATATCTCTGGTTGCTCGCCATCTCTCGATGCCAGTGCGTGCTTCTTGACCTCTATTACCTATCTCACCTTCCTATCTTGGGACTTCCTCGGCCGTTGAGTCCGAATTAACATACCACTCGCCCAACATGCATCACGCAGCAGCCATGCCCCTATTTTCTTCCCTCCTCCTGCTTGCGGGACTGGCCGCTGCCGCTCCGGTGGTGAACCTGGACGACAAGTGCGAGTCGCAGACTATCTGCGTTGATGCTATCAACACCTGCGGGATCAAATACGGCGGGTATGTATCCAGGTGGCTAGGGAGAAGGGGTGGTTACTGAAACCGTGGCAGTTGTTACGACGTCTGTGACCTCTCAGCCAAACCCGTCGCGCCGCCCTGCCCGACGACCACTAAGAAGCCTCCCGTCCCTACCACCACCAAGGTTATCACCAAAGTAACCACCCTCAAGCCGAAGCCGACCACCACTCAGAAGACCACCAAAAAGCCCACTCCCACGACAACCAAGAAGACCACCAAGAAGCCCACCCACAAGCCAACTACCAAGAAGCCCACCCCAACACCGACCAAGAAACCTACACCCAAACCAACCAGCACCAAGAAACCCCATCCCACAACCACCAAGAAGCCCACTGTCAAGCCCCCAGTTAACCCCGACCCCGACCAAAAACTTCACCACCTCTACCACCAAAGCTGCCAGCTGCAACAACCCACGTCTCGGTCTGCTGGGGACGGTATCAACGAGTGCGGTATTATGTACGGCGGGTAAGTTATAGAGCCAACTTGGTTTTTTTGGAAAGAGGAATTAAAGAAAGGAATTAACATATCATCCAGCTGCTTCCCCGATTGCAAACCGTGGCCTACCTTTACGCCTCCGCCGTGCCCGACTAAGTCCCCAGTGGTTACTACGAAAGTCATAACGTTGCAGCCACCGCTGACAGTTCCGCATATCAAAGTAGGTAAGGTAGGGAGGAGTTAGGGATAGATTAGGGGTAGTGCGGGTGGTGAAAATGCTTGACTCCAAATTTTGTAAATACGCGCGTGCCCCACACTTTCTTCACTTCAATTGAACAAGACTTCGATGACTCTGACTTCAAAGGACTTCGAGAGCAGTGTATTTTTGACCCAAGGCACAAAAAACTCTCGACCTATTTGCTTGGACGAAACACACAATTTGTGATATTTATTGTTACTCTCTCGTTGAGCACCAACCCAGCGCTTCCTCAAAAGCCCGACGATTTCTTCATGCCCACCACTTACATATGCCACGAGAAAATATAGCATTTCTTAATTATTTTGGGCCAGTTTAGAAATATTTAAGTCTCGCCAACATGGCTGAAAGTCCGGGATTGGATTTCATTCAGTATGGTACCCCCTCCCCCCACGATCATGTCCGTTTGGGTCTCTTTTTTGTACTGCAGCCTCTTACCAACTACCTATTTCTAGCCCCTTGAAGCTCTTCGATATTGCCAAGAAAGAAAAGAGGCTTCTATACACGTCAGCGCCTATGGTGCGCTACAGCAAGGCACGTGCTTGGCCTTCAACCCATTTTCTGCTCTTGGACCTACTCTGATGACTTGCAGTTGGCTTTTCGTCAAACAGTTTATGCCTACGGTACAGACCTATGCTGGACACCCATGATACTAGCCAAAGAGTTCAACAGAAACCACTTTGCAAGAGACAGCGGTGAGTCCATGCCGCCAGCTCAGCGCCGAGATGAACCATCATTGACTCTCTAGACTTCACAATATCCACCAACGGCCCTCAACCACCAACAATCGTTCAATTTGGCGCTAATGTACCACAAGAACTCGCCAGGGCCTCATCCCTCGTGGCGCCGTTCTGTAGCGGCGTGGACCTGAACTGCGGCTGCCCCCAGTCATGGGCCTGTTCCGAGACTCTCGGGGCAGCTCTGATGGAGAAGCGGGAGCTGGTGCGGGATATGGTGGTCGAGACCCGGGAACAGCTCCGCCGAGATGGATGGGCCGTCAACAAGGAGAAGGACATGGACAGTCCAAAGGGACGGAGTGTGAGCGTCAAGATCAGAGTACACAAAGACCTCCGGTACGCCCCGAGCACCAACCAACAACCCTCCACCCTCTCCTCAACTGACCACCCCTCAGAAAAACAATGGATTTCATCACCACCGTCCTCGGCCCCGACCAAGACCGGCACATCGACTGGCTGACCATCCACCCGCGCACGCGGTCCACCCCCTCCAGCACGCCCATCAACCTCGAAGCCCTCGAGCTCTTGACCTCAACCTTCGGCAACCGCGTGCCCATCCTCCTATCAGGCGACGTCTTCGCCCTGGGCACCCTCCCCTTCACCACCCCCTTACTCACCCCCACTCCCACTTTCACCACCACCACCACCACCACCAAAACCACCAAAACCACCACCCCTTTCCTCGCCCCAACCCACCACCACCACCACCACCACCACCAAACCCACCATCGCCTTTCCTCTCCGGGCTCATGACCGCGCGCGCCCTCCTCACCAACCTCGCGCTCTACACAGGGTACGACGCCTGTCCCGTGGCTCGGCGGTGGACACCCTTCCTTGTCCCACGTGGCCGCGGTGTTCGCTTCCCGTACAAGCTGGTGCAGCACCAC